GTTTAATCCTCAAATCCCCAACCTTGCATCAGATAGGCAATCTACTGTATGTCGATCCTCACAAGCTTACAGAGATTAGGAGGCTAGAGATGTTATGGACTAGTAAACGATTCCGTTTCATAAAATTTGTCCCCACGAAGTTTTTCTCGACTAACCAGTCTGTGACGCGCGCCCACATGTCCTCGCGAAATTATCCGATTCTGACAGAAACTGTTCCGGTCATCCGAATTTCAGCCTGATTTTCTCGATTTCCTAAGGGTTCGTGGTCCTAAAGGCCAGTTTTAGGTCAACCAAGACTGTTTCGAGGTTGTTCTTCATTTCTTCAAATGTTTCTTGACATAGCATAGTCCACCTGACTGCCTAGGCGGTTGCGAAAAAGTTCTAAATCTGACCACAGTCAATACGTCCCTGGGTTTTCTCTGCTTTGTGCGTTTACCGGCTACCCCCCGCTGCACTATGTTTCGGCATCGGGAGAATACGTGCTCTTTGTGTTAACCCTGTTGTTTGCATAAATTACGGATAGCTTTATTTCTTAATTGTGATCGTAAGACTAATCTAACTGCTGTTGGTGCATGCCTCTAAGAACTTCCGAGGCGTTCACGTGTACTGCGTCCCATTTTTTCTCAATTTGGTCTCAAAGTGAGCGTCTTCTACTTCCTTCTTCAGGGACTGTATCAATTTACGATAAATACCGTTACTGAAATATACTCAGCATGCAGACATATTGTTAACGTTCGAGAAGAAGGGGCCGTGTCGATCAGCGAAATCATAGTTTTGTTAGTCTGAGCTTTGTCACAGTTCCTAGATCACCGGGTACTTTCATATCTTACGGCCAGTAAGACTATGCCTCGTTCGGTATTCGTCGCCCAACGTCGCCTTCGTCTCTGGCTTGTCACGCTGCTCACCTTTTCTGTCCAGCAGTTGCCAGCAACGCAGATACGTCCTGGTTGTCATCTCCGGGATCGGAAGTCTGAAAAAGGCGTTGGTGATGAGACCTTGTTCTATGCACACCATTGCGGTAGAAGGCCGTTACTGTTGCATCTGTTTACACCTTGGCGACCTAGCACTTCTCAGGCAAATTGGCTGATGCCTTCTCGGTTATTGAAATCAAGGGCAGTCAATGTGGCTACCGTCGACACAATTGAGAGGAATGTATGCAGACCCACCTTCAACTTGTCCTTCACGCCTCGGGGCTTGTCGTGTAGTGAGTGTAGATGCCGAGGGTTCTGGCGATTTTTCTACGAAACGTGGAAGCCGCATCTTGAGTAAATGATGTTTGATTCCATGTGGGATTGAGAAGAACTTTTCAACAATGTACTTTCCAATAATTCAAGCGATCCCTGTGCTTGCCACCAGGCTTTCAGCGGCAGCTTCCAGAGAAGTGTGTATTGCGTACTCATCTCATCCAACCACCTTTTTCCGGGGGAAGGGGATCTCACCTTAGGAGAAGGAGGAGTCATTTTGCGGACTGGGCGAATGGGCGGACATAGCTTCACACAGCTCGTCTATGCGTTCTTCACACGCTGTGGCCGTCAACATAGACCAGACCATATTCAGCAACGAATACGGGTCGGAGGGTCATTGCACTTGGGAATATAATGGAGGCCCATTGAAACAACTCGCGGCTCACACGATTGTCACCTCTCGCGAGAATTTCGGCATCATCAAATTTGGGATGTGTGGTCGGGTCTCGTCGAATGAGCCGCAACTTGCGAATTGGCAACATTTTTCCGTACTGCTGCTGCCGCGTGTTCGACAATCCGCGTGCGGAGCAGTCTATAAGTTTCTTTGACGTAATTGCTTTGCTCGCATCTGCACCAGAGCATTACGTCTTTCAATTGTTATATTTTAAGAAGGGGTATCTTTCGATTTCAAAAGAGCTTCTGATTTCCGAATAAATTTGAACTTGACCTGCCGTTAAACTCGAATTTAGAGGCTCCAAACTACATGCTGTACCAATTCCATCTAATGAAAATCCCACATTTCACTACGTTATTAGGAAAAAGTAATATAATGCGCATAACATTGTCCGATAGATGTATACCAGGTTGTATCCTTTATAAGCAGCAATAATGGTTAGGCGCTCTATAAATGAACATTTCATGGTCTTAAGAACTTCATAACTAGAAATTTTTTAAAACCTACATGAACACCTTCAAGTAGGGAATGAGACAAAGGCGTACTACTAAATGAGTGCAACAAAGAACGTTTTTGTCTATGTTTTCCATAAAATAGATTTAAATGTATTAAGCCGTCGAATGTAAATGAACAAAAATTAATACGGCTTAAATGTTCATTCATACGGAGAGTCGTTTCTACGGATGGCAGGAAAGATACTCGTCCAATTGGCGATGTCTTGACGTGCCTGAAATAGCTTAGGATTATTCTGCAGGATAATTAGTATTAAACCCGTACTTAAGTAATATTTTTGAATTTAAAAAACACGTTTCAGAATTGCGGTCATCATTTAATGAGGTAGCACATCTACTCTTGTCGCAAGTTATAGCGTCGACCACGGAAGGCTTCCCCAAATCAAGGCAGGCAAGACGGAGTTGATGGGACAAATTCTTTACTATAGCAAGAAGGAATTGTACAAGCTGAATCGGGAGCCAGTTGC